TCCGATAGAAGGACATATTTTTGGCATGACTCCTGACTGACAGGTTCAGTACAGTAGAGGTCATGTATTGATCTGCCCACCAGTGTTTCACTGGAGTGAGGCGGGATGATGAGGGATAATAGTAGTAACCTGGGTTACGATACTATTAGACTGGTCATGACAATTGGACAGAATGTGACGTCATCTATCTGCTTGTTCAGATTAGTATGAATCATGTTCTGGGATCTGCCCACTAATCTCTGGGGTTCCATTGATTGAGTGAGGCGGCCTACCGTGTACACAATGTAGAGTGACACTTTGTGTCATTCCATTAGTGGTTGGTAGTATTGTAACAGGATACTGAGGTACCATCTACCTGCTAGTTCAGATTAGTATGGCCTGTATTCTGGTGATCTGCCCACTAGTCATTGGTGTTGCCATTGGACTAGGTGGGGCGGGTCTTTAACCGATGACGCGGTATATTGTGACGCCTGTATGGGTACAATGGTTACAGTACTGTGGGAATTGGTTGCAGCCATTGCTAGGCCTGACCTTTTCATTTTGATGGGAAGTGTTGGGCTCGGCAGGGAGTACATTTTGGAGCGCTACGCTCCGCCTTAAACCAATACGAGCAGAGCTCCCCTATGGGGCGGAGCTCCACGATATAGAACGATTAGTTACCGGAGTGTAACTCCAGTTCTATGAGTGGAGCGGAGCCCCATAGGACTTAAGGCCCTGCCGACCCTCTCTAGTCTCGCTGAAGATAAATATCTCGGGAGGCTGATTGAGGGGAGGCATCCCCTCTTATAGGGACACCTGTACTCCTATTGGCTGCAGGTGTGTGCATAATTTTGTCTCAGGCTGATGCTGCCTTAGGGCAGTGGGTAAACCAATAGGAGCAGAGCTCCCCTATGGGGCTCCGCTCCACTCATAGAACTGGAGTTACACTCCGGTAACTAATCGTTCAGTCAGTGTCGACCCGTCATTTTGAGCCGCACATGTTTTTTTTGTTGTTGCCTGTTTTGCATGTTATTTTGGCATTAATACATGTCACATATCAGTTTGCAAACAATAAAAAAAATATATACATATTGAGTTAATAAAGCCGCATAGAAACATGGCCTCTTTTTGCTTTCTTGAGGAAGGCAGCTCCAAAATGCAGGTGTTTCAGCATAGCTCTGTACTTTCTGTGGTGAATGGGCAGCGAGCGGAAAATACGGAGCGTATTGGTTGGTAATCTTCTCTAGTTGCGCCGTGATTGGCTCAGTGTTCTGTCTCTCATGGGGACACTACATCGCTGCATAATCTACAGGGAGAGCTAGAAAATTCAAGCCTCAGTGCGTGCTGCCATAGATTTACATTAGAAGTGCCCATCCAAGAAGTCTCAAGGTCATTGGCCACAGATAAAATGACATCAAATCACGTTATATCTACCGTAGCTTTGATTGGACTGATCATATCAACATCATACTTTCAAAATCTTAGCTAGTAAACTAGACAAGCAGTCATCATCGTGAATCACATTGACAATCTACTGGCAAATCCTTTTCAATCCTTGTCATTTGAAGAGAAATTATAGATAAAACGTATCGGTGCTCTTGGACTTAAACATTACACAACAAGTTGGAAATCGCAAATTCAACAATGAGTGGTTTGGGAGGAATCAGGCGTTGCAAAGCAATCACTATTTTGCTTCCCCTTCCTGTTATTCGGTGGAGAGGGTATGTGGTCCAAGTCTGGGTTTAAAGGTCTCTTTTCCAATCTTAAAAGGATAAACATTCACACGCAACACCATGGGCCAGAAAAGGTTGAAAACATTAGCCATGCTGTCAATCCAGCATGACTTCTGCCGCATTCAAAACAACTGGAAACTTGGAACTGGGAAATCTCAGACTTCAGTTCAAGATGACTGGTAACTCTGAAAAAAATGAGCTCCGACTGGGAAAATACATTTTGAACAGTCATCCAACTCGGAATTCCAAGTTGGAAACTCAGGCCTCTTTCTAGAGCTCCAACCTGAAGATCACTGACGTCATGATTCAAGCTTGTTTTTTTTCAGAGTTCCCAGTTGTCTTGAAAGCACCATCAATCCTGACAATACCAGACTTGAAGACAAAATGTCATGACAAAATTTGGACCGCCGTGCCACCTTCCTGTTCAAGTGAACACAGCACAAGGTGAGTCCAAAAATGTATTATATGCTGCTGCATTAATGATGTAATATGCCAGGGAGATATGTATATATATATTGTAGCTAAGAAAGTAATACTAAGTGTATGTTGTGTATTAAGCTGTTAGTAGCCCATGTGCCTCACCCTAATAATTGGGTCCCTGTCCCCCTCATAACTTAGCCTACTGTTCTGACTTGGTGGTGCACATGTAGCCTATAGCCTGTTTTAGAGAAATGTCATCATCAAATATTGTAAGAGCTTTCATTGTCTGCTTTTATGCCCCCTTTATTTATCCTGTGGTTCTGACTTGGTGTACAGGGAGAATACTGTAAGAACGGCCCATGTCCTGAATTCTGTCGCTGTACATTTCAAAAGTGCTGAACAAATAGTTATATTGACTACGTCCGTCTTAGCTCGCTCATTAAGGTCTTAATCGAAATTACGGATTGCCTCTTATCCGCTCATCATTCCCTTATGCCATAGTTTGAACATCTCAATTGTCAGTAGAAACCACATTTGTTTAAGCAAGTCAGCCATATCAACCTTTTTTTTTTTTAAGGCAGTAAATGAGGCTGAATTAACTGTTTCGCTGCTAGACAAGGCTCCGCTGATAGCCAGGTGTAGTGGTGGTAAGGATTCACTCCATAGTGCTGAAAAGAAAGCTCTGCTGTTGGGACAGATGTAGGCCCTAACAGTTTGTGGGCACCGTTTGTCACCGTTATAGTGCAATTAATGTATTGTTTAGTGTTGTGTTGTGTAGTGGCTTTGCTGGCATGCATCTAAAATATTTTTTTTGAGTTTGCCACACCAAGATTTACATGCTAAAATCGCCACTGAGTTCAGTGATATATAGGGAACACGGTATAATTTGGGGATGCAACCTGATGACTGTTATTCAACTGTGGCCAATGTATCTTCTGATGCTGCACTTCAGCTTTTCTCTGAGAGGAGGAGGAAGGCCTTTTCCTCCTGAGGTACCATCACAGCCTTCCACAGAAAGGCCTTCTTTGGTTTGGAGGCAGCCATCTCAGCCCTCTCCTCCTGGGGGGTCTCCTCTGGCACAGTCAGGCTTATGTGGTGGCAGAGATAGGGTCTGTTGGGAGCACTGTGACCCCAGTGACTGGGCAGATCTGGCTCTGCGCATGGATCCCTTCTTAACTATAGTGCCAGAAGGGTATTTCTATAGAGGAAGTCTCTCTTGGCTATTGATGTCTTTGATCGTGGGGTATACAGCGAAGGGCCATGATGTGTCCACACTTGAGCTTTGGGTTGGGCTCCTCTGAGCCATCTGAGTATGAGACAAGGTCCTCCAAGGTCCCCCAAGCAGCTAAGGGGAGAGGAGGGAACTCCATGGGGAGCTCACAAAAAGGCTGAGTCAAACCACTTTTTACACTTTTCTATAGTCTTCTTTGATCCATGAGAGCTGTTGATCGATCAATGTTTAAAATGCCTAAGATAAAAAAACAAAAATAAAACTCAAAGGATAATGACATTAGAGGCTGCTGCTGCCTATTGAAATCACTGGCCACTTAAGAAATGGAACACTAGTCACTTTAATAATGTTGACATATCTTGCACTTCTCATCGCATATGTTTATACTGCATTCTATAATATTCTACTGTATCTTAGTCCATGCCGCTCTGTCATTGCTTGTCCATATATGTATATATTCTTAAATTCCATTCCTTACTACAAATTTGATTTGATTTGATAATGGAGAAAAAGGTAGCAATGGTAAAATGCAGCCAGTTAATGATTCTAGATTTTCTGACAATTTTCAAAGGCTAGTATGTCATAACTACATGGAGTTTACATCATAATGATAGGTAGCCTATGTAATAGTCGGATTAGTAACATAACCACCAATTTGTGTTTCGCCTGAGAGTTCCATTCTTTATACGTCACGCTTCCTCTGCATGGTGTGATAACGCACCATATCAGTAGATGGCGCTAAGTATATTTTCGTGCTGTCACGAATCCGCGAAGTAGAGTATGCGCCTGCGCATTTATTTTTCCACGTAGTTGCACGTAATGCCAGAAATACTTTTCTGCTAAGCCCAAAACAGAGAGCGAAAATATTTGATGTAAAGCTGCGTTCTTGCTGAATATTTTTTAGCATGGCCAGATATTTGAGACCTCCAAATACATCTCTTTTCATCAGAAACATTTCCGATGAATCCAGGTGAGTCCATATTTGAACAAATCCTCCCCCCAGTTCCTTGCAGTCAAATAAGGTCAGAATTCGACATCCCAAGCTAACGTTAGCTAACGTCGTTAGGCCATTGCTAGTCTGCTAGCCACGCGTTTCGGCCTGACCAAAGACTTCTGTGGCTTGACCTTACAGTCGGGCAAGGTAGACCACCAGAGATGGCTAAACTCAAATCTTAAACCAAGAAAATTACTAACCATGGACATTTGGACAAACTTCTGTTTCAATCGTCCTAACAAGCTAGCTAACGTTAGCTATAGCGCCCGGTCGTTTAAAAACTGCATTGTTGTGAACATTACCCTACATAATTTAACGAAGTTCTAATATAAATGCCCAAACAATATGACCCCCCCCCCCCCCCCCCCCCCGTGAAATGTTAGTTGGCCTATCTAGTAGGTAACAAACAATAAGGTATTTTCTTTGCAAGGACAACACTACATAGGCCTACACACACGGGTGCTTTTTCAATTATCCATTCATGGAAGTAAGGTACATTTCAGAATATGTAAGTTATGCATAGACTTAAAGTTTCAATTGTGTCAGTTTTCATGCAAAGAAGTGGCATCTTCATATTGCCCAACAGAACCACCGGTCTGTCAGTGGCTCCATTGGTGGTGCCACTTTATTCTGGTACTTTAGGCTTTTCCTCCTGGTCATTGAAGTGAAATCTCTATCCTTTACGGTATTCAGGCCTGAGGATTTGCGCCGTGAGTTTGGTCGTTATGGGCCAGTAGTAGATGTCTACATCCCACTTGACTTCTATTCACGCCGACCAAGAGGATTTGCATATATTCAATATCCTTTCCCTTCTAAAGTGAGAATTATGAAATCTGTATTTTCTATATCATTTGCTTAATTTTGAATGTTATAAAATGATAACATGCTTTCTCTCAGAAAATGTCTTAAGCAGTAAGGCTTGGTTGTGTGATTGATTGCTGTGACTTTGCATTCTGTATGTATGTACACACTGAAGTACTTTTGAATATCTAACTTACATTTCTCTGTTGTTGCCCCAGAAAATGTAAAGGCATCCAGTTGTTGTGGAGCCTGGAGAAAGAGAAAGAGTAAGAATGTCCGGTGTAGAGTAGATCTAAAGACAAGCAGCAAAAGACGGCCAGGATGACAAGAAACAGAGAGAGGGAAAGGTTGAAAAAGAAAGAGAATTTAAAGCTTGAAGAGACAGAGGGGACGGAGTCGAGGCTTGGATATGTCGTCAAAAGAAAGAGGAAAAGGGAAGAGATTTAAAGGGCAAAGACAAGCAGGAAACCCAAGTTCTTCTGGGAGGCGGTTAAAGAGCTTAAAGATCAAGATGAAAGTCAAAGTCAAGCATGTTTAAGGTAACAAACCTGAATTATTTTGTATCCTCACAAAAAAAATGAATCAACAAATATTACATGAAAATCAATCAATACATTGCCAATGTGAAAATTTGATTCTTAATTGAACTAAGAAATTGTTACTCTTATTATCAATATATTTTGCATTCGATAATATCATTTGAAACTGAAGCAGTATTGATTCCTCAGTGCAAGCCATCAAATAAGAGACATATTATTGAAACATGTTTGCCTCATCTTCAATCTTGAGAAGAACCCAACATTCTCATAACAAATCTGTTCCAGAACCTAAGCTTTGCTTTATACTGTCAGCCAATATGGCTTCCTCTTCAATTAAGTGGCAGAAGACGCATTGTATTACAACAGTATTGCTGAAAAGAATGTAACCACATAAGACCACAGGTAAGAACCTTAACAGCTCAGCAAGTTTGAAGATGTGCGCGACGCAGAAGATGCTCTTCACAACCTGGACAGGAAGTGGGTGTGTGGCCGACAGATTGAAATCCAGTTTGCGCAGGGAGACCGAAAGAGTAAGGCAGTTTCACACATTTCCTGTGTTTCATGAAGTAACAATGTACAGTATCAAGCACAATTTCTTGTTTGCGATTTATTGATGTTACTTTCAGCTGTACGTTCAAATGCATGTGTTTTCTATCTCATGTGGTACAACTGCGATACCTTTAAGGAAAGCTAAACCACTATGTACTGTATGTTTGCTTGGTGGGTTTTTCTCTCTTCTCCCAAACCCTTTTTTACATCACAGCACCCAATCAGATGAAAGGGAAGGAGGGGGGATCTTCGCGCAGCTCTTCGCGGCATGATGATCGGGATTATGATCGGGACAGCCGTCGTAGGCGCTCTCGCAGCCGTAGCTACCAAAGACGCAGGTCACGCAGCCCATCCTACGATCGCCGGCCCAGACGCTCTGAGAGTCCCAGAGAGTAAGGGCCTTTCCAGTGTTCTCCAGCTAGCGTGCTTCAAATAAGATTGCAAAGCTTATACAAAATGTCACAGTCTATTGATTACATTCTGATTGATGTTTTGTTACCCAGCTCCCGTGGAAGGATGTACGGCGGTAGAGGAAGAAGCAGGAGTCCGGAAAATGACAGGTGGGTCCTTGACACTGGGATTATGGCAATTAAGCCCTTTATCTACTTCCCCAGAGTCCAATGAACTCAAAGATACAATTTTTATATCTCTGTGTCCAGTATGAAGGAAGTACGAGGTATTTTCGCGAGCCAATGCTAACGAGTGTTAGCGCAATGACTGGAAGTCTACAAGAACAGTTAGCATGCTAGCTGTTCCCGTAGACTTCGTCAATTGCACTAACGCTAGTTAGCAACTTCCTTCAAACTGCACGCAGTCAATAATTTGTCTCTTGAACAGCTGAACCCCTGACAATGAAACACATTCTGGGCACCTTCTATAAACTTACTAATCATTAGATGGCTGTGATCTTCTGTCACTTTTGCTGTCCTCCATCAGTGGAAGGGATTATACACTGGACAAAAATATAAACTCAACATGTAAAGTGTTGGTCCCGTGTTTCATGAGCTGAAATAAAAGATCCAAGACATTTTCTATACGCACAAAAAGCTTATTTCTCTCAAATGTTGTCCACAAATTCGTTTACATCCTTGTTAGTCAGCATTTGTCCATTGCCAAGATAATCCATCCACCTGACAGGTGTGGCATATCAAGAAACTGAGTTAACAGCATGATCATTACACAGGTGCACCTTGTGCTGGAGACAATAAAAGGCCACTCTAAAATGTGTAGTTTTGTCACACAACACAATGCCACAGATGTCTGATGTTTTGAGGAAGCGTGAAATTGGCAGGCTGACTGCAGGAATGTCCACAAGAGCTGTTGCCGGAAAATGGAATGTTGATTTCTCTACCATAAGCCGCCTCCAATGTTGTTTTAGAGAATTTGGCAGAACTTCCAACCGGCCTCACAACTGCAGACCACGTGTAACCACGCCAGCCCAGGACCTCCACATCCGGCTTCTTCACCTGCGGGATCGTCTGAGACCAGCCACCCGGACAGCTGATGAAACTGTGGGTTTGCGCAACCCAATAATTTCTGCACAAAATGTCAGAAACCGTCTCAGGGAAGCTCATCTGCGTGCTCGACGTCCTCACCAGGGTCTTGACCTGACTGCAGTTCGGAGTCGTAACAGACTTCAGTGGGCGAATGCTCACCTTCAATGGCCACTGGCACGCTGGTGAAGTGTGCTCTTCACGGATTAATCCTGGTTTCAACTGTACCGGGCAGATGGCAGACAGCGTGTATGGCGTCAGGTGGGTGTACGGTTTGCTGATGTCAACGTTGTGAACAGAGTGAGGTTATGGTATGGGCAGGCATAAGCTACGGACAATGAGCACAATTGCATTTTATCGATGGCAATTTCAATTTACATAGATACTGTGACAAGATCCTGAAGCCCATTGTCGTGCCATTCATCCGCCGCCATCACTTCATATTTCCACATAATGCACAACCCCATTTTGCAAGCATCAGTACACAATTCCTGGAAGCTGAAAATGTCCCAGTTCTTCCATGGCCTGCATATGTCACCCATTGAGCATGTTTGGGATGCTCTGGATCGACTTATATGACCGCGTGTTCCAGTTCTCTCCAATATCCTGCAACTTTGCACAGCCATTGAAGAGGAGTGGGACATTCCACAGGCCACAATCAACAGCCTGATCAACTCTATGCGATGGAAATGTGTCGCGCTGCATGAGGCACATGGTAGTCCCACCAGATACTGACTGGTTTTCTGATCCACGCCCCTACTTTTTTTTTAAGGTACCTGTGACCAACATATGCATGTCTGTATTCCCAGTCATGTGAAATCCATAGATTAGGGCCTAATGACTTTATTTCAATTGACTGATTTCCTTATATGAACTGTAACTCAGTAAAATCTTTGAAATTGTTGCATGTTGCGTTTATATTTTTGTTCAGTGTAATAATCCAATGGTTTGTTCTTCACACAGGCACAGACCCCACCCACGTGACCACCGACGACCCCCCCCTGGGCATTCCCCTCACAGTCAATCCCGCTCCCCTTCTCACTCTAGGCCCAGGGCCCAGAGGGAGTCCAGAGGAAAGTCTCGTTCCCGCTCGAAGTCCCTAAGCCCACAAGATGGCGACTTCCACCCAGCACCCGGTGGCTATGAGCCTCAGGACGAGGCGTCGTCTCGTATGCGCTCCCCGTCCCGCTCGCGTTCTCGCTCACGGTCCCGCTCTCGCTCCAGGTCCTGGACTGGGCGCAAGTCAGGGGGACACTAAAACATGTTTGTTGGATCCTTTTTACTGTAGTCGTGTCCATAATGGCTTGCTGGATAATTGAATGTTCATGGAACGGTCATTGGTTGGTTTGTTTGTGAAAATGATCTTCCTTTGTAGTTTTTTTGCTTTGTTTAAAAAAAGGATGACAAAAGAGAAACACTATATCCTTCTGTTTAAATCAGTCCCAGAAATATTTACACACCCTCTGTTTCTAGTCATTATATCATATACACTGAGTGTATGAAACATTAGGAATAGCTTCCTAATATTGAGTTGCACCCCCTCCCCCCTTTTGCCCTCAGAACAGCCTCAATTCGTCAGGGCATGGACTCTACAAGGTGTCAAGTGTTGCTGGCCAATGTTGACTCCAATGCTTCCCACAGTTGTGTCAAGTTGGCTGGATGTCCTTTGGGTGGTGGACCATTCTTGATACACACAGGAAACAGTTGAGTGTGAAAAACCCAGCAGCATTGCAGTTCTTGATACATTCAAACTGGTGCGCCTGGCACCTGCTACCATATCCCGTTCAAAGGCACTTAAGTCTTCATCCGCTGAATGGCACACATACTCAATCCATGTCTCAATTATCTTGAGGCTTAAAAATCCTTATTTTAACCTGTCTCCTCCCCTTCATCTACACTGATTGAAGTGGATATAACAGGTGACATCAATAAGGGATCATAGCATTCACCTGGTCAGTCTCATGGAAAGAGCAGGTGTTCCTAATGTTTTGTGCACTCAGTGTATAAGTGTTATGCCTTTCAGGAGACCCAGGGCTAGAAGTACTGTATAGGCCAAGATCAAGTCCCGGGATTCAATCCGATCATTGTTTACCGTGAATGCGGCAACATTGCCTTGAAAAGGGGCAATCGGATAGAATCCCTGCCCTTGTCGCTAAAATCTTTACCGTCACTTTCCTGTCAAGTACATTAGGCACCAGCTTCCAGTTGGGATGCTTGGAGTGTAAGTTACCTGGGGGGTGTAATCATTAGTCCAAAATGTTTACACCAAACGGAAAACGTTTTGCAACAAACTGTTTAATTTGGTTCTATTTGTTTGCTAGTGAATACACCCCTGGCCTGTGAAAGAGCCATGAGCCACTACAGTAGCACAGTTAATTTTCTACCAACATTTTTGAAGATTTGTTCAGCGATAGACAGGCCCATGTTACATTTTATTTTAGTCATTTAGCAGACGCTCTTATCCAGAGCGACTTAGTTAGTGAGTGCATACATTTTTTTCATGTTACAATGGCTTGTCCTGTTTGATTTGATAAATTATGGTAGCCATCATTTTCATGCCCTCTGTGAATTCTAGAATAATTTTAGTAGCCTCAACTATCAACTCTGAATGGTTTCTAAATTTGATAAAGTTGGCTAAGGTTTGTACATGGCCTCCTGTATGTTTTATGACATAAAAACAGGACCTTGATCCATTTTGTGTTAATGCTCCATACTTTGCTCAACGGTTCCTATGATGGCTTGTATGATTCTATGTGCTTGTTTTTTCCTAAAACAATCTTCCTTCCAAATATATGTCAGTTATGCTCTACTGTATATGCAACTGTATTTTCTTGGAGAGTAATAAATGCTTAAAGTCCTATTCCAGTCACCTTTTCAGCTCTTATCACCTGATTTACTATTTTGTTCATTGTTGCTCCTCTATTGCTGCACTGTTGAAGCTAGGAACATAAGCATTTCGCTACACCAACGATAACATCTGCAAAATATGAGTATGTGACCAATCACATTTTATTTGATTGTTCCCCAAGCGGGGGGGGGGGGGGGGGTGATGACATCACAAATCCCCATCAAACCAACTCCTTGAATGCCCTACTCCTTGACGTTTGCAGTTGTTTCAACAACAACAAAAACGATTTTTCTCAATGTATTTTTTCCCCCCCTTTTAATGTGTACTTTACTGTATTTATACATCGGATATCACTTTTCAACAGTAAATGTAAAAAAAATCACTGGAGGACCTATTTAAAAATGAATGGTATCTAGTTTTGTGGGCATTCTCAGACATTGTTTCACTAAGTCTGCTGGCATTTTTGCATGTGGGGATAATGTTTAAAGTTCACTACATGTGCAACCATACACATACATTCTTACTGAGGTGTAAACTAAAAGCATATATGATGACACTCGAAGAAACTAATAAATTGGTGAAAAGATTACATAATGCACTCCGGTACAGACGGCAAAAAAAACCTTATTGCTGTGGTAGAACACCACTTTACAGCAAAATAGTTCTGCCGTTTGAGATCAGATGCTCTATTAAGCGCCAAAGCTTGGTACAGTTGAAGTCGGAAGTTCCTTCCACAAGCTTCCCACAATAAGTTGGGTGAATTTTGGCCCATTCCTCCTGACAGAGCTGGTGTAACTGAGTCAGGTTTGTAGGCCTCCTTACTCACACATTCTTTTTCAGTTCTGCCCACACATTTTCTATAGGATTGAGGTCAGGGCTTTGTGAAGGCCACTCCAATAACTTGACTTTGTTGTCCTTAAGCCATTTTGCCACAACTTTGGAAGTATGCTTGGGGTCATTGTCCATTTGGAAGACCCATTTGCGACCAAGCTTTAACTTCCTGACTGATGTTGCTTCAATATATCCACATAATTTTCCTTCCTCATGATGCCATCTATTTTGTAAAGTGCACCAGTCCCTCCTGCAGCAAAGCACCCCCACAGCATGATGCTGCCACCCCCGTGCTTCACAGTTGGGATGGTGTTCTTCGGCTTGCAAGCGTTCCCCTTTTTCCTCCAAACATAACGATGGTCATTATGGCCAAACAGTTCTATTTTTGTTTCATCAGACCAGAAGACATTTCTCCAAAGAGTACGATCTTTGTCCCCATGTGCAGTTGCAAACCGTAGACTGGCTTTTTTATGGCGGTTTTGGAGCAGTGGCTTCTTCCTTGCTGAGCGGCCTTTCAGGTTATGTCGATATAGTACTTGTTTTACTGTTGATATAGATACTTTTGTACCGGTTTCCTCCAGCATCTTCACAAGGTCCTTTGCTGTTGTTCTGGGATTGATTTGCACTTTTTGCACCAAAGTACGTTCATCTCTAGGAGACAGAATGCGTCTCCTTCCTGAGCGGTATGACGGCTGCGTGGTCCCATGGTGTTTATACTTGCGTACTATTGTTTGTACAGATGAACGTGATACCTTCAGGCGTTTGGAAATTGCTCCCAAGGATGAACCAGACTTGTGGAGGTCTACAATGTTTTTTCTGAGGTCTTGGCTGATTTCTTTTGATTTTCCCATTATGTCAAGCAAAGAGGCAGTGAGTTTGAAGGTAGACCTTGAAATACGTCCACAGCTACACCTCCAATTGACTCAAATGATGTCAATTAGCCTATCAGAAGCTTCTAAAGCCATGACATACTTTTCTGGAATTTTCCAAGCTGTTTAAAGGCACAGTCAACTTAGTGTATGTAAACTTCTGACCCACTGGAATTGTGATACAGTGAATTATAAGTGAAATAATCTGTCTGTAAACAATTGTTGGAAAAATTACTTGTGTCACGCACAAAGTAGATGTCCTAACCGACTTGCCAAAACTATAGTTTGTTAATAAGAAATTTGTGGAGTGGTTGAAAAACGAGTTCTAATGACTCCAACCTAAGTGTATGTAAACTTCCGACTTCAACTGTATGTGCATTATTCCATAGAACAACAATCAGTAACAATATAACCTGGGTGTCAATCAGTTTCTGCTCTCTTGTCCACTCATGCCAAACAATGACAATGGATAGGCAAGAGCACAAACAGATCTGGAACCAAGCTAGTAAGCATATAAGAGGTCAGGGCAGCATGGTCTGCAGACTTGCATCACAACAACAACAACAAAAAACACTTGTGCTACAACAAGGCTGCCGCGTCATTTGACATTCCAGTACTGCTCTGACTCCCCAAAAACACAGAAGTATAACCGAGCCTGCCATGATGTACACACACACACGTCTTACTACTACAGTACTCCTAGGGCCATATACTGCATTCGGAAAGTATTCAGACCCTTCACTTTTTAATCACTTTCATCCATTTTAGAATAAGGCTGTAACATAAAAAGTGAAGGGGTCTGAATACTTTATGAATGCACTATATGTATCAAGCGTCTCAGAGTAGGAGTGCTGATCTAGGATCAGGTCCCGCTTGTCCATACAATCAATATGTATAATAATCTTAAAGCCAAAACTGATCCTAGATCAGCACTCCTACTCTGAGATGCACTCTGCTCACTTTCCATCCACTTCTAAGTACACTGAACAAAAATATAAACGCAACATGTAAAGTGTTGGTCCCATGTTTCATGAGCTGAAATAAAAGATCCAAGAAATGTTCCGTATTCACAAAAAGCTTATTTCTCTCAAATGTTTTGCACACATGTATTTACATCCCTGTTAGTGAGCATTTATCCTTTGCCAAGATAATCCATCCACCTGACAGGTGTGGCATATCAAGAAGCTGATTAAACAGCATGATCAGCAGCATGAAAAATGTATGCACTCACTAACTGTAAGTCGCTCTGGATGAGTGTCTGCTAAATGACTAAAATGTAAAAAATTACACAGGTGCAACTTGTGCTGGGGACAATAAAAGGCCACTCTAAAATGTGCAGTTTTGTCACACAACACAATGCCACAGATGTCTCAAGTTATGAGGGAGCATGCAATTGGCATGCTGACTGCAAGAATGTCCACCAGAGCTGCTGCCAGAGAATTTAATGTTAATTTCTCTACCATAAGCCTCCTCCAACTTCGTTTTAGAGAATTTGGCTACCTCCAACCGGCCTCACAACTGCAGACCACGTGTATGGCGTCGTATGTGCGAGTGGTTTGCTGATGTCAACATCGTGAACAGAGTGCCCCATGAAGGCGGTGGGGTTATGGTATGGGCAGGCATTAGCTACGGACAACGAACACAATTGAATTTTATCCATGGCAATTTGAATGCACAGATACCATGACGAGATCCTGAGGCCCATTG